TTTTTTTTTTCTTCTGAGGATTCTTATAAGGAAAGTATTGTGTAATGTAACCAGGCTCTGTGATAAGAGATCCCTTAACATTGGACTGTGGCATTGCACCAGCGTATGTGGTCCTTCGTGGGGCTCGTCAGCGTAGCCCAAAGTGAAGCATACCATAGTCTGCCTAAATAGACCACCTAAAAGGGATTTATGGAGCACACTAGGATAACCTTTACTTAGTTTGAATACATAGAATCTAACTTCCTAAAAAGAGTGTTGTGATTTTTGTGTAAGTACTAAGAACGCAACTCTGAAGCCAGGCTGCCTGGCTTTGAATCCAACCTCACTCCCTGTTAGCTGAGTGACCATGGACAAGTCACATAATCCCTTTGTACTTAGTTCGTAGTTTTGTGAGACATGCATGCATTACAACTCCAGGCACATAGTAAATACTATGTAAATGTTTGTTATTCTATTTGGGGCTTGAATTAAACCCTGTAAAATATTCCATACCCAGTTGCAATGTAGGCGAGGGGGGTTTCCCACACCAAGCAGATTTTGGATAAGAGCTGGAGGTCCTACAATTCAACTCACGATCTACCCAAAGATAGTGTTAGATCCCACAGGTTAAGGGTTTAGCCTTGAAGACTGCCTTCCATTTCAGATGCTTCTGACAGATTGATTGATCAGAGGTTCCCATGACCCTTCTTCAGGGGTTCAATTATTTTGCTAAAGCAGCTCACAGAACTTAGAGAAACATTTTACTTATTAGATCACCAGCTTCTTATAAAAGGAAAGCGCTCAGGAACAGCCAGACAGAAGAGATGCACAGGGCAAGCAAGGCGTGTGGAAGGAACTCAGAGCTGCCTTGCTCTCTCCCAGTCCACCATTCTCCCAGAATCTCCATGTGTTTACTAACCTGGGAACTCTTTGGACCCTGTCCTTGTGGGGATTTGTGGAGGCTTCAGCACCTAAGCATGGCTGATTAAGTCACTGGCTGTTGGTCATTGATTTAACCTCCAGTCCTCTCTCCCCTTCCCAGAAACCAAGGGGTGGGACTGAAAGTTCCAACCCTCCATTCATGGTTGGCTCCCCTGGCAACCAACCTCCATCCTTAGGTGCTTTCCAAAAGTCACCTCATTAACATCAACCTAGTTGTGGTGGAAAGGGTCTTGTTATACATAACAAAACACCCGTTTCACCTTTATGGCTTGGAAGGTTTTCAGGAGCTGAGGACAAGAGAGCAAATATTATGATAAGAGATGCTCTTGTTATTATTGCTCAGAAAATTTCAAGGGTTTGGGAAGCTCCAAGCAAGGATGAAGACAAATCTATAAGAAATATATTTTGGTCGTCTGAATGACTAACTATACATTTCTTATAAATGATAATGTTGCACCATGGTGTATATCTTTCAGTGCTCTGGTTACCTATTCCTCAGAAAAAATTATCTCCAAAGTTGATTACTTTAAAAAGCAACCATTTGTTATGGCCCACAATTATATAGGTCAGGAATTTGGTAGGATTCATATAGACAACTTTTCTGCTGCTGGAGACAATTTTTCTGGGTTTACTCAGTGGTACTCAGCTGGTGGATGGACTGGGCGGATCTGTGGGGTGGGTCCAAGATGGCTTTATTCATGTGATTAGCACGTTGGGAGGGATGACTGGAAGTCTGGGACTGTTACACAGAGTGCCTATGCATGGCCTATCCAACTGGTAGCCTCTCTGCTATCAGAGCTCTCACATGGTGGCTCAATTTTCCCAGAATGGGTATTCCAAGAGACCCAGGGAGAAGCTGCAAGACACCTTAAGACAGCCCTAGAAGTTCTGGAATATGACTTCAGCTGAATTCTATTGTTCAAGCAATCATAGCGATCAATATAGATTCAAGGGGAAAGGGATTACACACCACATCCCAATAAGAAAAGGGTAAAGAATTTGCTGTCACTTGTAATCTGTAACATCCAACCTGAGACATGTACCACTGGATCACTAGGAACATATCCCTTCTTCTGTTTTGCACGCACTGTTGAATGAAACATAGTTTAAACACTTTTAGGAAAAATTTATATTTTGGGGACTTTTGACCACAGAAACCAGGGAGCTAATGATCATTTAATGTTTTCTGAGTGTCAATGAAACCTGCTTTATACTATAAAACATACACAGAGTATCTTGATTTTAAGATTTGGTTATCACTATTTTCTCTTCTGTGAATGGGGCCAAGAGCACCCAGGCCCTTATAACTTGGCAATTGTGGGTTTAGACACTTGTTACCTACATGAGGCTATTTGATGCTACCAGAGATCATAGCTCAGTATCCAAACTCCAAGACTAATCGGTGTGCCAATATCCAGACTTTGTAGTTCGGCTGAAAAGTGCATCACCTGTGTTAGAGACTGATAATAAAATATGAAGCTTGAGTCCATTGCAAAAATGCCTACAGATGGAAGAGACCATGAGAAAGGCATAAAATTGGATTTCAGCTAGGCAATAAAGGAACAGTGGGGAATTTTGAAAGAAAGCAACTGGTCTCATATTTATTTTTACTTGGTTGAAATCTGACAGTGGAGGAGCCCAGGTTAAATGTCTCATTCACATTATCCTGTGAGCACACCATTGAGTTTTTTCTTGTTTTCTTTGTTTTTTTTTTAAAGATTTTTTTTTTAAATTGGGGAACTGGGGGGATGGGAACAGTGCTGGGGAATTGGGGGAAGGGGAACAGACAAGTTGCTGTCCTTTTGTTCTTCAGTCTAGTTGTGGAGGA